AGAAAAGAACAGGAAGAGGGAGAGATGGGGGTGGGGTGGAGAGAAACGATGAAGAAATCACTTATCAACCTGGCCCAAGTGTGCTGCTAGTTTCACCCCTCCAGCACCATAAAGTTTCCATGCGGTGTGGCTCCCCTGAAGGCTTTAAGAGTTGACATCTGCAGAACTCCTTTTCTTCAAGTTACAGCTCAGTACTCTGACTCCCAGGCTCCTCAAAGGAGGAAAGCTCCCAGATGCTATTGTCTTGAAGCAGTGGTTCAATATCCTCATCACTGACCCGTTCCGGGGTGTTAGTCAGGCTACCACTGATGCTGTTGCTTTGTTTTTGAGCTCCACTGGCTTTACGGTATTCAGGGATAAATAAGGCAACCAGAAAAGATATAAGAACTATACATGCTCCAAATAAAAATGGTGGGCCTGGGATAACAGCTTCCTGGTGGATATGGAAAATAAGATGAGAATTCAGTTAGTCTTTTCAACCCAAAGAAATATATCACCTAAAAGTGAATCATTTTGTCAAAATCAGATTAGACATTTCATTACATGGTAAGGCTAACAGAGCTTGGTCTTTGGAATATAAAATGGCAATTAATCAGTGGTTTTGGGGGGTACTATTTCTAAATAGCTTATCCCAACCTGTAATCTCATTCTATGACCTATTATTATGCATTTCTGTACACTGAAGATTAATTCCAATTTTGTACTCAATATCACTTTAAAAAATAATTTGTAGCTGGGCTTTTAAGTCATTTCCTATGTTACTTAATCTGAGGTTATTAGCCAGCAAATAACATCCTGATCACATTGACTATGAAGGTAAAAACAGAGGCTAAAATTAAGATAAAGCTTTTCTAAGATATCAAATCTCTGAAATAAACCCTCCCTGATCCCAGGAAAACATAAACACAGAGCTTACTGCTATAAAATATAACAGTACTATGCAAATAAGAATTCTCTCTAGTTAAGATCATAAGATTTGCTATACTTGGACTTAACCACTGTTACAAAACTAGATATCATCTATTTACCTGTAGGGCACCACTGCCAGAATTCAGTTCTGGGCCCAACTCAGTCAGTTCAACATGGAACATGTAGAATATGAAGCCATACAGTGCTGGCCCCAGGCCATTGCATAGTCCTCTTATTCCAGTTATGATGCCCTGGGCAACACCTACATCAAAGAAATAGGAGTCAGTCTTCTCAGAAAAGCATCTCAAGATATGGAGTTTCAAGGTACTCTGACAAGCTATGATATACTACTGATTTTGCCTGGACTGCTCACAGGACTTATGTCTATGAGTAAAAAGCACAACGCAGAAAGTGGATCAGGAAGACTTCATCGGATTTTCACTCATTACCTACATCTGCCTACAAATGGACAGTTATAAATTACACAGATAATGTTTCCTAATTCTGGCAATTTCCACTGTTGAGTGAACTGAGAATTTCCCTGCTCTGCTCACTTAATAGTGTATTTAAAATAAAGTCTGCCCTTCACCTGATGGCCCTGGTCACATAAGAAGAGCCACTGCCCCGTTCCCTGGCAGATGCTGTTCTCTCAGCTGCCACAGTGTTCTCCATCATAGCATAGACCTACACAGAAAAGTTGAGTGCTGATTTCTAGATATCTTTGCTTTCTAGTACAGTTGGTGCAAATTAGCTGGAACCGTATGAAATACAGTATTTCTTCAAAAATGGTCACGTAGACATTAGCCTAAGATAACACATTCTACATGTTGACTTAAAACCATTCATATTTGTATGTTCATGCATAAACTGTTATGTATAAGCATAAAAATAAAAAGTCAATGACAGTCCAGGCCCTGAATAACAGAACAGTATCCAGGATATCTTGAGATACCATATACTTCAGACACAGGGCTGTCTTCCTTGTTCAGTTAGTGTATCTGGGGGTGACACACGGAACCTGTGGTCTTCAAGTGACACTATTTAGAAATGGATATAAAAAACATGGCTGATTTCTGATTGGTAAATATAAGTACAACGAATAAAGTTATATTTTCCAATGTAGTTTTTCATTGAAAATTTTAAGAGTTTAATAAAGCATTTAAAAAATAGGCCCTTTATAATTCCCTACTTCCTGACTACAGTAAAGTGAGCCCTCAGGAAATGGACAAGGAAAAGGACTAATTTTGGCAGAACTGCCTACCAGCAAAGCCAAGGGACAGGAAGGGTGAGTAAGCAACCATCTACCTACTCTTCATGTAGTAGCCATCACTTATTTCACCTCTCACTCTGCCCGATGACTGAAAACTACAAACTTTTTTTTTTTTTTGGTGGAACCGAGGATTGAACTCAGGCCCTTGCGCTTGCCAGGGAAGCGCTTATTCCACTGAGCCATCTCCCCGGCCCCTCTACAAACTTTTTTTATCTTCCTAAGAACCATTTCCTACATCAAGCTAACAGACCTTGTATTACTGCAAATTGAAGCAATTTTAGTGATTTAAATAACTCATTGCTAACTACCCTTTAATAGACACCTATTTAAACAAGAATAGTCAGGTTAATTCTGATGCTCACAGACAAAAGGAGTCAAAACTGAAAAAGAAAAGTACCTATTTTCTAACTTAGTAATAAAAATTGCTGGTTCTTCTTTTTTCTAAGTATGAAGTAAGATAAAGGTAGATAGGAAACAAGACTTTCATATCTGCAAAGCAAACAGATAAGCTCCTGGAGCAGGGATCACAGGCTGTCACCTCCTGGTGTGGATGTCAAGAGATCAGAGATTCAGGTTTCTGGCAGAGAGGTCTCAGCTGAAGGAGGAAACAGCGAGGGCTCCGACCATACCTTGTTGATCTGACTCTGCATTCCGAGAGACAAGAGCACTGACTGCTGGGAATGTGATGCTGGACATGGCGGCCACAACTCCTGCTGCCCACATCATCCTGCAATAGAACAGACTTTGGTCAGGCCTCAAGAGCTCAGGGCTCAGAATGCACTGGCAAATATACAAATGCCTTGGTTTCTCATGTTCACTTTCCTTTATCACCTACCCATCCCTTTTTTCTCTTTTTGAGCTATAGTCTCACTATATACACTTTAAGCTGATCTTGAACTCACTATGTATCTCCAGATGACCTCACACTCAAAATTCTCCTGCCCCTGCCTCCTGAGATTATAGGCATATACCACCACAAGGCTATTATTCTCCCTTTAAAAATCACTCATTTTCTACAATAACAGACAAAAGGAGGGTTATAATTACACTGTTACTATTGATCTCTTCACAGGCTATAATGGAAATAGAGAATCCAGGAAAATTTCATTTATTTTACTTCTCTCAAAACCTCTTCTTCTCTTTGCTCTATTACCATCTGCAGAAGTAAGTTCAGTGAAGTTCTGCAAGGAGCCGCTACTTTGTATAAATATTGCATTACTACTCTTTATGCTTTCAAAAGTCTCACCCTCAAACTGCTCTTGAGCTATGCAGCTGCTAACTCCCGCCCTGCCTGGGCAGTGCACCACCAACTGAGCCAGAAGAGCCCCTTCCCTCAGTCTTGGGTCCTGCTCTCTATGGAAGAGGCCTATGCGTGACACAGGAGGAAATATGTGTGAGGCCCCCGCTGTGCGGTAACTAGCATGGCCAGATTTTCTTGGGGATATTCTTTACTGAAAAAGACAAGTCCTTCACAATCACAAAGTCTTTCTAGCACTACAAGAATGTTAACTCGATCAGCAGTGAACCTAAGCTCACAGGACCAAGTTCAAAAAGGAACAAGATCATCCACGTTAAGTTTAGGTAAAACATCACATAGAATAAAAGAAATTCGGAATTTCACGTGCTTATTTCCCAACTAACCTCTAACTGCTATAGCACTTGCAGTTTCTCTAAATTATACACTCCATTTGCAAACACAAAGTGACAAGGTGCTCTGGTATCTAAATTGGTGATATGTACGCTGGTGTTTGGCAGCTAGGCACTAGGGAAATTTGCAGCACAAGGAACTTTTATTTCTTCTTATTATAGGGAGTTTATTTTGACCCTCCTTCCTCTTAAAGGGAATCTAATGTGCTACTCGTAACTCCCTAGGGCCACACATGCCATTCAAAAAGATCTTAGTGTTTCTTAAAGTTGAAGCTATACTTTATAAAGATTATTTTATTGCCTAAGATCACTGAGTTAATTACAACAGCAAAGCTTGCCATGATCATTTTTCCTTGTCTTTTTCTTTGAACTTCATGTCTCCAAACAATGGCAAATGTGTTTAAAATACAGCTATAGAACTTCATTGGTAGGCTAGATAGACACACATTCAATTAAGCAATGATTCAGTAAAAGACTGCTGAGGTGAACCAATCTTTACAAATCGCCTGGAATTATCCAGTTCTACCCACCAATAACCTAATTTAAGGCTTTTGAAATGCTGAATACACCAAACTTGCTGCTTCTCATCACACTCAATTAGCAAGAGCTCCTCTAACACACACCCATCTGTTAGTTCATAAGAATCTATGGGTAAGGCTTACCAAGCTTGAGATCCAAAACCATACCAAGCCAACTGCAATATTTGGAAGCCCAAGCCTAGGAGAACAGTGTTTTTATTCCCCAGGGATCGCATCAAGATGCTAAGAAAGACTGTCTGCAAAGAAAAAGAGATACCTAAGAAACCACATGAACACAGACTTAAACAGAGTGAATCCTGCTCATGGTTAACCACGTACCTCTAAGAGCATGCTGCTGTGACCTCAAAGGCTCACAGTACTGAGGTATCTTTTGAGAGGTGGAGTTTCAGTGGCTCCTACGCTAACCTGGGGCTTGGGCCCTTTCACATCCTTCCGGAGAAATCTGTCTGCCTGGGGCTCTGCTAGCACCTCCCAAAATATTACACAGTTTTAGCAGGCTGTTTGAAAAACTGCCAAGCAAACTCATGCTGAACACTTACAGACATAGGATCTGGCTGCAGGTTAACAGTTTTACCAAGGCGGAACTTGTGTAAGCTTGATTTTAACACATATATACTCTGCTAAATATTAGAAGTTGAGATTGTCTAAAAATGAATGTGATAAAAGATGCCAGTAGCTAATCAACTGGAGTTAATGTAACACACAGACAGAAATTGTGATCAACCTGAAAGCTTAACATACTTTACATACGCAAATATAGTTAAAACAGACACAAACAGGCCTCTGTGTTCCATGAGCCTGTTAAGTACAGTGTTTGGAAGAAACATTCATAACATTTCCATTTCTTCTGGGCAGGAACACAGAACAGCATTCTGCTTGGCTTGGGCATATCAAGGCAACAGCCTCTAGGAGTCTCACAAGACACAGTGAATGCACCCATTCAAGGCACTACACTGATGTGAAGGTCATATCCCTGCTGTGGTGATTCTGTATTTCTAACGAATGGGGAACATTTAATGCCCTTCACTTATTGTATATATCCTAATTTAACTCATTGTGACCATTAATTGTGATGTATCAACTTGACTAGAGTAAGAAACACCTAGCAGATTAGTAAACATAGTTCTGGCATCGTTGGAGGACTGACCTGTAGGCCAGCAAACTGAGGGAGGAAGACACACTGGGTTGGATGGCAACAACCACCAGTCTTATAATCTGACTGGCATTAAAAAAAAAAAAGCAGGAGAAACTGCCCATTCTGAAGCGCTCTAGTCTTCTTCAGAGTGTGTCCTTTGCTGCCATTGGCCTCCAGTTTCTTCAGCCTTCTAAAGCAGTCTTGCACTAGCAACTCTCCAATGAGCTCCAACCTTGGGCTAATGCTGCACGCTTCCATCTCTGTAGGCCAAGCAGCCACAGGATCCTCCAGTTCTCTAGCTTATACAGGGCCACTACGGATTCTCCCACTATTTACTTTTCACCATTAAAATAGTGTAATACATTCTTCTGTTTAATTTTGTGGTATCTACAAGTTATTTATTTTAGTTGTTTTGTAAACAAATAAAAGTACCAACTCAGCACAAGTTAAAACAAATAATGCTACTGAAAGTTGTATGAAGTTCCCCCTAAACATGACCTCAACATTCTACCAAGAAAAAATAGTTCTGTGAGTCATGTCCTGCCAGCTTCTTGAATTTGACATTAACCTCTACTTGTGTAAGATGTGCCACTGCAGGCCTAAGAGGTATCTTTGTGAATCTGGTTCCAAAGGAGTAAAAGGAAAACAAAAGTTTGTTAAAGTATGCGTGAAACAACACTCACCTGAGCGATAATAGACAGAATTCCTACCATAGCTATGAATGCTGCAATTTTAACAGATCCAAAACCGATGACCTAAGAAAATGGAAGATACTTTATTAATAGATGCTACAAAAATCACTGGTTAAAAAAAAAGGTATATATTCTATTGAAATGATAAAAGAGTTCAGGACAATTCACAAAATCAGTGGCAAATCAGAGCAGTGCTGAAAGTTGAACCTATTTAATCAGTAATTTGTATCTAAATATGATATAAGAAATCATGATAAGCAGGCACAATTTAAGTTGTGAAATATTTTGGACACTATTTTCTATGTCTACCTACTAATTCATATTCCCTTTTTATCTCCAACTCACAAATTGACAACGTGCAACAGAGAGAATATGAAACAAAATGTAACTTAACTTTTGATGATGCTGATACAGAATGTGCTCATCAGCAAAACAGTGGCTCTCTACTCTCACGATACATTAAAATTATGTGGGCAACAGACAAGGGGAAAAGAAGAGGAGAACCAGGAGGGAAGCAATGAAGTGCTTATAGTGAGCACAAACACTGGAGATCTATTACATCAGATTCTCTGAGGTATGGCTCAGAGACAGATTTGTTCTAAAAAGTAGCCATGGTGCTTCTAATGAGTTAGCAGCTAATGAAGTTGGCTGGTGATGACTTCTAAGCTTCTGGCTTTAACAATAATTCTGAAATGTCAGATCCTGAATAGACCCAGAGCGAAAGCCCGGCGAGTGAGTGAGACAACCCAGGGCCCTCGGGATCCTGAATAGGCCCAGAGCGCAGGCCCAGCGAGTGAGTGAGATGACTCAGGGCCCTCTGGATCCTGAATAGACCCAGAGTGCAGGCCTGGCGAGTGAGTGAGACGACCCAAGGCTGGCGGATCTTCATTCAACCCAGAGTGCAGGCCCAGCGAGGAACCCTTCAGCAGAACTCCCTGCAAAGAGGCTAGAGGCAAGACCCACCCAGCTGATTCAGGAGCAGAACATCTTGCCAGA